CTGACTCTAAAGGAGAAATATTAGAAAAAATGTTTGAGAAAGTAAAGGAAGTTTTACCTCGCTGGGGATTACAAATTGCACCTGAAAAAATACAAAAAGGAGAGTCTATCAACTACTTAGGATATAAAATAGGTCTACAGAAAATTAGACCACAAAAAGTACAGATCAGAAGAGATCGCTACCAGACTCTTAATGATCTTCAAAAATTACTAGGAGAGATTTCTCAACTGCAAACCATAATTGGAGTAGAAGGGCATGATTTGAAAAACTTGAAAATGGCCCTAAAAGGAGATAAGGACTTGAATAGTCCACGAATACTATCAGCTGAAGCTGAGAAGGAATTAGAATGGGTAGAAAAGAGGATACTAGAAGCACATGTGGACCGTGTGGATCCAAACCTAGACTGTATTCTGGTTATATTACCATCTAGAGAATATCCTTCAGGGATTTTGATGCAGAGAGAAGATATCATATTAGAATGGATATTCCTACCACATAAACAGAATAAAAAACTGAAAACATATATAGAAAATATCTCTGACTTGATTATAAAAGGTAAATTAAGACTTCGTCAGCTAATAGGAAGGGACCCAGCAGAAATTATAGTACCTTTAACTAATGAGGAAATTTCTTCCTTATGGAAAGATAACGAATATTGGCAGAGAGCTGGCAGTAACTTTTTGGGAACAATTAGCAACAACTATCCCAAAACTGAGAGAATCAAATTCATAAAGAAAACGATTTGGATTCTTCCACGCATTGTAAGAAAAACACCTATTTCTGGAGTTCATACATTCTACACTGATGCAAATAAATCAGGTAAGGCAGGATATAAATCAGGAAATATTAGTAAAGTGGTTCAAAGCCCTTACAATTCTGTACAAAAGGCAGAATTGTATGCCATTCTCATGGTACTTATGGATTTTAAAGAACCCCTCAATATAGTTACTGACTCTCAATACGCAGAGAGAGTCGTTTTACACATTGAGACTGCAGAATTTATTCCTGACAATACAGAATTAACTTCATTGTTTATACAGTTACAAGATACTATCAGAAAGAGGACTCATCCTATATATATAACACACATCAGATCCCATACGGGTCTGCCAGGTCCTCTAGCACAAGGCAATGATGAAATTGATCGTTTATTGATAGGAAGTGTGCTAGAAGCCTCAGAGTTTCATAAGAAACACCACGTGAACAGCAAAGGTTTAAAAAAGGATTTTTCTATCACTTGGGAACAAGCCAAGGAAATAGTAAGGAAATGTCCTACTTGCTCATTCTATAACCAAACTCCTTTACCACCAGGCAGTAACCCTAAAGGTATAAATAGGAATGAAATATGGCAAATGGATGTGTTTCATTTTGCAGAATTTGGAAAATTAAAATATGTACATCACACTATAGATACATTTTCAGGGTTTCAGTGGGCTACTGCTCTGAGCTCTGAAAAGGCTGATTCTGTTATAACGCACCTTTTAGAGGTAATGGCCATTATGGGCATACCTGCACAAATAAAAACTGACAATGCTCCAGCATATGTCTCCAGCAAATTGAAACAGTTTTTTGAGTATTACAAGATAAAGCACATAACTGGTATACCACACAATCCTACAGGACAAGCAGTGGTTGAGAGATCCAATCGTACTTTAAAAGAAATGCTCCATAAACAGGCAGGAGGAACCAAAACACCCAAACACAGATTACATAATGCTTTATTAACATTAAACTTTCTTAATGCTGATGAAAAAGGAAAAACAGCTGCAGAAAGACACTGGACAATAGAAAAAACTTCTGAACTAAATCAGCCAGTGTATTTCAAGGATGTACTGACCTCAGAATGGAAAGCAGGATATGTGTTACGTTGGGGTAGGGGTTTTGCATTTGTATCTACAGGAGAAGAAAAACTATGGATACTATCTAAGTTAATCAAGATCCGAGTTGAACAAGAGAAGCATCTTAATGAAGAGAAATGACAAGTCATCCAACAAACTAGGTCCTATGAGGTGTGCGGAGGCCTCTCAAAGGTAGGGGAAGTGTTCTGTTCTTGTTTTTACAGGAAAACAGAGAAAACCTATCATCAAACAGCCAAAAGACACTGAACATGTAGGTGCCTACAGAAGAGAAGACAGCTCTTCAGAAACAATCACTTAAGGAAGCAGAATCTGATATATGGTAAAAAAAAAAAAAAAAAAAAAAAAAAAAAAAATATTTAATTGTAGTAAACTATTTCTATATAGAAATCTATTTCTCTCTATTATCTAGTATTCCTGAAGTCCCAAATTTTGTAAACCAATGCTGGCTTTGGAGTTGGATTTGGCTTTCCTTCTCTAAATTCAAGCATGTTGTTAAGATTAAATTCATGGTTTCTGCCTTAGATCAAGAAGCCAATTGGTGTAAGGCAGAAGAAACAAAATCTGGGGACTCATATCTTATGCAATTTTCTCTCTGAAATCCTAATTTTCTCACATACTTTTAATGCTTATTGTTGTCTTTCCCTAATGCATACCTTAAAACTTGAAAATTTTACTTTAATATTGATGTGTAACTTTTCCACAAGGAATAATAACGATTCCTAACAGCAGTCTTTGAACTTTCCGGAAAGAAGATGGGGCCCCACATCATCATTTCCACTTGACTCAACCTGATGCATCGGAACTACAAACATCACCCTAAAACCGGTTTGAGACTGTTTTGCTCGAGACAACTCATGACTAGCTAGCTGTAATGGTGCACCTTTTTATTACACCCTGGCCAGTTTCAAATAGAACTACAGTCAAGAATTTTCTGCCACACAGTGACTAACTACATATGTCACAGCCAGTTCTGTTGAGAAATTTGGTTGCTAAAAATTTTCTTCCTACAGGATCCATTGGAGCAATCATCGTCCCATTTCAGCAGGAAGTAATCTTAATATGACTACGCCCCCTTTCCCTACCCTTGGAAATTTGGGATAATAGTCATCGTCTTTGGGTTGGTTTTAGTTATTTGGGATTGGGTGATGCTTACACTCGGGTTTATCTTTTAGACAGGAATAGGGAATGGTGGGTAAAGGTATGGTTTAGATGGGATATAAGTAGATTAGCCTATTTCCTTGAGAATTTGAGTTTGAATGAGATAGTATTTTACAGCTTACATTGTTATGCATTCCTATGTGGTAAGCTATGTAAAATTAAGTTTATATTTTGTTATATTGTGTTAAATGTTTCCACTTATAATATTTATGCACATTATTTTTTACCATATTCTATGTATGTATACTTTTCTTGTGTTCAAGACATTTTGTATATTGATACAATTTGGGATATTTATCTTGCTGCCCTTTATAGTTCTACCTCTTGTCTTGACACTTATACTCTACCTCTATTTTAGGGATTTACATGTAGGTATATGTAAATAGTTATATTGTTTAAGTATTTGTTCCTGCTTTACTCAGGAAAGTTTTAATCAGTCTTTTTAGCTAAGTTCCCGAGTATTATAGATTATCTTCACTCACATTTCCTGTACCTATGAGATTAGTCAGATATAGATGCTTAATCTTCAATCCTTCATAGACATGCAGAACATGGCATTTAAATGTTTTAATATTAGTACTCCTTTGACATGAGACACTGTTGCTCCTGACAGCACCGTGCATTTTCCCGAAAATATGTTGGACACTGTTGTTGCTCCTGCTGGAGTTCAATCTCGCCTCAGCTAATGGCCTGTTGGGCATAGAATTGCCCCCACCTTGACCACTGATTTGGACATGCAGTCCTATGTGCTTGCAGGAGACAAATATAGAAGACTGCTTGACCTTGCCAAGTCAGGGTAAGACAGCCATTCTATTTCCCTGCTGTTGTTGTGGTCTGTCAAGTTCTCTTGGCCTTAGCCAAATCTGGGTGTACCAACGTCGCTGTGAGACCTAGGGTGACTGTTCAGGTGGCTTGCTGTTTCTGTCCTTGCTGCACCGTTTTGGAAGTTGTCCATCCGCATTTCCTGTCTACTCTAGTATTGTTATTTTCCTTCTCAGGTCTTGATGAGGTTGAAGATTAAACTATCACAACTATTATTCTCTCTTCCTAGTTAGATATATTAGGTACTAGACTTACGTTTTCCAGCTTAGGACAACTCTATTGTAAACTCCATTATGCCCTCACCCTAGGACTAGATATGTAGGTCATTTTGTTCTCGATTTTCCTTTTCTTAGAGCACACTTGTTATTCACTGTTTTGTATATAGTTTTGTATTAAGCCTAAATCTTTTCTTTAGACTAAAAGGGGAATTGTAGTGAGGTAGTCCTTCTGTAGCACTGACCACGCCCATTGGGGGGTGGAGCGATGGGCGGAGGTGACCTGAGGAAGGAGGTCGGAGGGGGGCCAGGAAGGCGCTCTCTTTCTGGCGTGACTCGGACAGGAGAGGATCGGGTTGAATTTCCTGGTGTTCATCTGTCTAGGTTGTAAGTTATTTCTCCCTGAATAAACATCTATTCGGCCTATTTATTTATCCTGACCCTTATTTACCGCAATAGCATGGGTGGGTCTATGTAACTCCCAAGGGTCCATTGTGACTAAAGGTGTAGCCCCAACATGGTGCTACTAACAGGGAGGTGACAGACACTTTAAAGAGGAACCAAGTAAGAGATCTCATAAGTCATTGCGCATGTGCACTTGAAAAGGGACTGTACCACCTTGACTGCCGCCTCTTTTTCTCATCTCTGGTTCTAGACATAACTGATCTGCTTCTACACATGATCATGCCATAATGTGCTGCCATCTTCTATTCTCACCAGAACTGAGCCAATGCAGGCATTTGACATGTGGGCTAAAGAAACCGTTTATTATAATTGAGCTGTCTGCAGCATTTTGTTACAGTAATATAAAGGTGAGTACTACAAAGAGTTATCAACACAGCAATGACTTACTGTTTGGCCTTTGCTTGTGCCACACATCAATATAACACACATTTACTGCCAGCTGTATGGGGGACACTGTAGTTCCAGCTGTTGATCACTTTACCTTTGCAGCAAGCTGTAGTCCAATTTTGTCTGCTTCGGCCTCCAATGTTCTACTGTATGGTCTATCAAACATATACTAAGAAGAAGCAGGACAAAAAAAAAAAAAAAAAAAAAAAACTCTATTAAGTGGATTGACTTCATGATCAAAGGAATCCAAAACTGAATGTTAAATTAATTTCACAGTATGAGATGTCTATCCTCTAAGATATGAAATGTAATGCAGCCATTGTTTCTTCCATTAGACTCTACTTTAAACATGAAAATAAGAAGAGTTAGGCAGATGCCTTCCTGGACAGCCTGTGCTGCCATTAGCTTATTTCATTTTCCACTTATAAGCTCCATTCCTGAAGAGAGAGCTGCCTAAGGAAGCATACTGGTACAGACTTAACTATGGCCAAGGAACATTAGCTAATCTCACAGTTCTAAAGGGAAAGCGAAAAAAATGAAGGTATATATGAGAGCCAATAACAGTAGCAGACAACCTTAGTGATGAAATTAACCACAGAGGAGAGCCCCTTCTGTGATTCATTATCTTCATCTCCTTTTCTAAATACTGATGAGTTAGGAAAATGTATTTTTCTTCTGACTTAATTTTAAAAAAATACAAGTAGCTATCATAACTTTAACTTTCCCAATTACTTGTATTTATGAGAATGTTTTCCAATTAAATTCTAATTTACAATAAGTAACCATTAAAACTTTGTAGGAGCTGAATCAAGAGACAGGACTTTTGATAAAGGGGCTATTAATGCAGGAAGCAGCTTTTCAAACACAGTAACACATGTGTAATGGATGCAAGCATCCTAAGCCGCCGTTCACAGTATGTGAGCATGGACCATGGTTTCCTTCTCACTAAGTTACATCTGCTCTAGGATGAAGACCCCATGGCTGAGGTCAAAACTCAGCGCACAGGCTGAGTGTGCACGAGTGTGCACCAATGAGTGTGCTAACCCAAAGAAGCTTCAGCTTCAACAGAAGAACTCATAGGGCCATATACAAAATGGAGCTAGTAACAATAACTAATTCCACTATTTGCACAGAGGATTAGATTACATGGCCCAGCAATAAAACTAGTCATCCCTATTAACAGAGTTCTTACTTTGTGCCAGGTACTATGTAAAGCACTGGTTCTCCAGCTGATGTGATTTGTTTGTTTGTTTGTTTGTTGACTCTTAGAGACACCATAAACATTTAGAGTTACAAGGTCATGGTGTTGTTACCTAAATAGTCTCAAATACATGAACTCAAGCAAACCTCCTGCCTTAGCTCCTCAAGTAGCTGAGACTATAGTTGTATGCCACCTTGCCAGCTCCCAGGGGCATTTTAAAAATTATTCTTGTATTCACTTTAATTATGTGTATAAGTGTTTTGCCTGCATGTCTGTACACCATGGATATGCCTGGTGAACATGGAGGCCAAGAAGGCATCTAATCCCCTGATTACAAATGGTTATGAGCCACCACCTGGGTTCTGGAAGCCAAACTGAATCCAGGTCCTGTACATAAGTAACAAAGTTTCTTAACCACCAAGCCATGGAGACAGTATGGAAAGCGAGAACCATGGGAATCTACTGAGTAGAGGCTGCATATGCTAGAAAGCCCACAATAGCAGGACAAGTCCCCATTAATAATAATCTAGACTAACTAAAACAGCAGTAGTTCTGCATTTCTGAGTTAATAGAGCTGTGGTGTATCATTCAGTCACCATGGTAAATAAGTGAATGGCAGGCAAGGGATGTGGGCAATTCCCTCTCTACAGTGCACCACTGCCAGCATTCCTTGATGCTCCCAAAACAGGGCAAGTGGGACATCACAAACAGAAAAACATCTCTTGACAACGGGGTCAGAAAGGGGGAAAATAATCCATACCAAAGGCATGCCTGTTCTCCAGTTTAGTTATTAAGTTGAAAGATTGCGCCTAAGAGGCGGGGATCATTCAGTTTTTCAGAAGAAAAACAGCTACATTACCTTTGTCACCATCAATTCTTCCCATTCCTTGTACACAAGGGGAAACTACATCAATTCTATTGACAGCCCAGCAGGTTAGAGCCAGAACTAAGTTCCAAATGTGACACACGACCATCTGAACCTAACTGTTCTTTTTCTTTCTCAGTTTGAGAACCATTGTTTCGATCTGGACAACATGGAGGAAGAACACCATTGTCACAGAGATAAGAGAAGGGACGGTACTAGGTTTCTCCACCCCCATCCCCACCCCCTTGTAATAATAGCTAGGGTGAAAAAAAGATCCTTATGTATCACTGGACAGATGTAGAATTCCTTAATTAAATGCTATATGGGAACAGCACCTAAAAATGAAAAACAGGCTAAAATCCCATACCTGATTCCAAGAGATGTTAACATAGTTCTGATACATGCTACTTTACATGGATACTGTTGCACGTCCACCACAGGCCATCACAGACTTACCTCCTGCAACTTTGATTGTATCCACTGGCCCAGAAGTGCCAAGCTGTCTCGTGGACAAACAGCCCAAATCATTGTGAGAAGAATCATACCAAGGAAATCCAGTAGGTGAGCCAGGCTAGCCTTTTCTGCCTGATAATGATAAAATGATGAAAACCACATTTAGTAAATGGAGAAAGTGCATGTTTATATGTTCTAGACACCATTTAATCATACTAAATAATTATGTGTGCTCAACTGGCCAACATGAACAAAGGTCCAAATGTTTTTAAATTATTTTATTATGTTTATTTCTTTTGTTGTTGTTGTTATTGTTGTTATAAAAGCTGTTGGCCAATGGCTAGAGCTTCTTATTGACTAGCTCTGTCTAAATTATTAACTCACAATTACTCATATATGTATTTCTACATGGTCTTATTTTACCGAGAACACCAGACTCGCATCCTCTACTCCTGAGATCACATTGTGAGAGTCTCCTATGTTTCCCAGAATCCTCCACCTCTCCTAATCCCACCTATCTTGCTTTCCTATTGGCCAACAGTGCTTTATTCATTAACCAATAAGAGAATATCATGTTTATTTTTTTTGTATATATATGTGTGTGTGTGTGTGTGTGTGTGTGTGTGTGTGTATGTGTGTGTATACATACATACATATATGTGAGGCATGCACATACCACACCACACCACAGTACTGGAAGGTCACAGGACAACATGTGGGAGTCAGTTCTCTCCCCCTACATGTGGGACCCAGGATCTAACTCATGCTGTCAGGCCGCACCAGCCAAAGACCCAAATTTCTTCCCTTGTGTCCATGCTGTCTCCTGGCACATCCCCTTTTCTTTGCTTACACACTTATGCCCTTTACATTTTACTACCTTTGCTGAGCTAATTATTCATTGTCAGAGACAGTGACAATTAATAAACTAGTTCTTATATTGGTCAGTGCAACGATTCCTCTGGTACAATAAGCCCCATTTTATAGATAATGAAATGGAAATAGAGATTCTATGATTGCACAATTTCACACAGCTAGCAGTAAAATGACCAAAAAATCCAAGCCGAGACGTTTTTGATTTCTAACATGGACATTATATGCTATACATCAAATAAAAGTACTTATCACACTTACATTGTTACATAAAGCCTAAGTATACATAACAGATAACGCACTTAAGACAAGAAAATTCAGAAAGAGGATACAAGTTTGATTAAAATAAAGGTATTTTGGTGTTTATGACCTAATAAATGAAAGTATAACACACGCAAGTTTTCGATTGTGAAAGTTTGGTATTCCGAATTCACTGAGGGTTGGGTTCTGTGAGTTTCATACACACTCACATCACTGACCAGAAAAGGGCTGTATAAAGAGTGCATTCTGCCCAGTAATGTGTAGTACAAGTTAAACGAACAGGCTTATTCACCATTCACTAGGACCGGAGGACTAGGGAGTGTTAGCTCAGTGCTGATACAGACTGTAGCAGTCACTACCTGAATGGACACAATATGGCTGAAAACTAAAATCAGACCATGACCTTCACAAATAATCTCTCCTCACAAAACAACAATCACATAACAGTCATTAGCTGTAAAACAGTTACTGAATTATTTTACCATGAAAGACTGAAAGTCAAAATGACAGTGTTTATGAAGACAACAAACAACCTTGTTATGGATTAATAAACAGTACAACTGTTAATTAGTCTTAATAGAAATATTTTTAAACTATGTTTATAGGATAAAAGCCAGGTTTAACCAAAACTAAGACTTCCAAAAGACAAAATACTGTATTGATAAAGACCTTTGTCAAAGGTCTTTCCATCTTGGCTGCCCCAAGCCGCTTCCATTTCATCTGAGGGCCATCCTGCCCCTGGAGGGTGGTAACCCTACACTGATAGGCACTGACTGGATGCCAGAAATCAAGCCAGCTGAATAGTACCACCTTTTAAAGAGACAGCAGCCACAGCTGATTTATTTTTGCAGATATGATAGGGAGATATTTTTCTGAAAATATCTCTTGACCACAAAGAGAATGAATTTTTTCCAGGCCTCACAGCCAATTCATAACTGCCTAAGGTCATTTAACACTATATACTTAACCTACTGTCCTACTATGTACTCTGCCTGTTTAAGTTTAGCCTGCCTTTAAGAAAACAATGTAACCAACCTTACTATGCCTTGAATTTCTAATGCAATCAGCTTTCACAACATAAGCTAGTGCATAGCTTTAGTCTTAAATCATGTTACTTTTCCATGCCCTGACACAGAAGTGTGTGTGGTGTGTGTGTTGGCAATCACTTACTGCCAGCAGCCAACAGGCTGAAAGCAATCTTAAACAACAAATCTCCCCTAACTGTTGGAAGTAACATACAAACTTTGGCAGCACCTACTTGCAATATTGGGTACTATTCTGGGTCAGATGGTGTCAGTAAACTCACCTTTTCCCTTGTAAAACCATTAAAGATTTCTGCTCAAAGATTACCATGTTTTCTGTGCTGTTCAATAAACACAGACCAAAGTCCTTTGTTAGGGACAGGCATAAAAAGAGACACAGGCACAGATTCAAGCATACAGATACGCAACAGGGACAGATAGATCACACACATAAATGTCACAGCACAGGCAGATGGAAAAGACAAGGAGAGAAGAAAATTAAATTTGGACTTAGACTTTGTCAAACTAACCCATGAGAAAGTTTCTGTCTCATTCATTAATGCATCAGTTTTCTATTGTTCAGATTTATTTGTGTATATATTTAAAGAAAATATTTTTAAATTTTTTTCATGTAGCTCTAAAGAAATAAATCAGGGATGCTTCAAAAAAGAATAACTCTGGCCTGACTCATTTATTATTCCTCTAAAGGACTAGTAGAATTTTAAATGACTTTGGCAAGGATTAAAATACCTTATAGTTTCCATTTGAAGCTAAAAACATTTGCACTTATGATTTAGCATATTGTAGCCCTTTTACAAATATTTACCTACATGTTCCGGTTAAAAAATAAAAATAGCCAGGCAGTGGTGGTGCACGCCTTTAGTCCCAGCACTCGGGAAGCAGAGGCAGGTGGATCTCTGTGAGATAAAGGCCAGCCTGGGCTTCAAAGAGAGTTATCCAAATCTACAGAGAACAGTCTCCAAATCTAGAGAAACTCTGTCTCGAAAAACCAAAAAGATAAAATAAACAAAAAATATAGTTATCTTTTCTATTTATATGCACAAAAGATCCACTCACATTGCATTTTTAATGAATAGCAAGCAAAAATTAATACAAAAATATGTTTTATTAAAGACCTATGTGGCCACTGTTAGTCTTATAAATATTAGTTTCCTAATATATAGAGCAGGGTGATAAATACACAGTCATAAGTTACTAAAGCTCTGAATGAGAAGGAACATCTTATATGAAGCTCAGGAAACTATTCTGCTCCCCATTCAGGTGATATTGCATATCATTTAAACACTTTTCAACAATATTCTGAGCCTTTCTGAAAAGGAGGAAGAATGAAACTGATTTACCCACTTAAATAGTAGTACCACTCTCCAACGATTAATTTTCTGACTAGATTACGAGCATGTTAATATTACCGAAGTATAATTTTAATGTGAAATAATCAGAGGTTGAGACTAATTACTTTTTAGCAAAAGAGACAGGTGATTAAAAAAAACAGTATTTAAGAGAAACACTAACTATTCAGTATCATATATATACTAAAGACTGCAAAAGTCTCAAAACTAGCTAATCACATTCTTTTCAGGTACAGAATAAGGCAATTACATTCCATCATTAAAAGAAGAAAAGAAAATCCTGAAAAGACTGGGTTCCTTAAAGGCTACAACTTGCTAATACCAAAGCAACAATCAACAGCTGCACGTCATGTGGGTACTCACAGCATGCCCCAGGACGGCATGTGCGATCTCATGGCCCAGAAGGAAGGAAAGCTGGTGAGTATCCGTTACACTATTCAAAAGCCCAGTGAAAACAAACACTTGTCCATTCTGCACATGAAAAGAATAAATAATATAAGCAGTTAGTCCACAGTAAAGTTTAAAGATGTTAACGCTTGCCACAAACACATATTTTGCAGTATTTACTTACTGGAAGAACAAAGGCATTTACATCTGGGGAGTCAACCACATGGATCACCCAGTTGATCTCAGAGATCCCTGGGACATCTTGATTGCATTGTGTTAGATGATACACCACTTCTTTAACAGTCAGGTACCGGGGGTCTCTCTCAGGCAGCATGTCATTTTTAAATTCTTCCATCCACTAGGAGAGTTTGTAAAAAGTGTTGTTTAGGAGTTTTTGCACTATAAATTGCTGATGCTGCTTCATGGGAAGTGTTTCATTTGACTAGTGCTCTGCATTTTAATTTCAAGTTGTGCAAAAGGCACATATATTAGAAACTCACATTTCTAAATTTAAATAATCCACATAAAAGCAGTATAGTTTCTCACAAAGGAATAAGTTATAAGCTTTCCTCATATAAACATGATTCAATCCAAACTTTATTCTTCTTTTCTATTAATCTATATGCAAGGAAAATGCTCAGATATTTCTGCCTTCCTAAGAATTTCAGAAAACAAAACTGCCTGGATAACAAAGGATTCACACTAGAAATTTCATAAAAAAAAAAAAAAAAAAGAAAGAAAGAAAGAAAGGAAGAAAAGAAAAGAAAAGAAAACTTGGGGCTGGAGAGATGGCTCAGAGGTTAAGAGCACTGGCTGCTCTTCCAGAGGTCCTGAGTTCAATTCCCAGCACCCACATGGTAGTTCACAACTGTCTGTAATGAAATCTGGTGCCCTCTCCTGGCCTGCATGCATACATGCAGGCAGAACACTGTACACATAAAAATTAAATAAATCAAGAAAAGTGCAGGGTTGGGATGTAGCTCAGTTGGCAGAGTGGTCACTCTCATACATATGCAAAGCCTGAGTTCAAGCCTCAGCACAGCATAAACCTAGTGTGGTTACACATCCTTATAATCTGAACACTGGAGAGGTGGACCTGGATGATTAAAAGGCTGTTGTCTGCTGCACAGTAAGTTCAAGGCCAGCCTTTGATACAAAAAGAACCCAGTCTCAGGGAGATAAAAAAGAAAGAGACTGTCAAAGAAAATTAATTTCATAATCTACTAAATGGAAGAACACCCTATTCATAATATAGACTTAGGCTTTTACAAAAAGAGATAATATCTCTCTAATTATAAAGTGTTTGATTCACACAGACTGAAAGAAAATCACTGAAATCTCAGAACTAATGGACAAATCATTTTCTTTATAATGATCCAAAAGCCAAGCCATCTCAAATATGAAAACATTTTTTCTGAGAGATTCTATCATATATACTAAAAATATTAAGGATACTCTACAAATATTTATTTCCATAAAAATACATAAATATATGAATGGATTTGTACATATGTATATTCTGTATATATACACATGGATCTGTATATATGTATAAGTGTGTTTGTATGATTAGACATCTTTATCACTTGATCTATTGGTCTGTGAATCCAAACATTCTTATAGAGCTGCTAAAAAGTTCTCTAATTATATAGTGTGCAAACTAGTGTTGTCAACTTGACAAAGCTAGAATCATCCGAGAAACTGAGAAAATGCCTGTATAAAAATACAAATATAAATCAAGTTGATAACCTTTTTCAAGGTGCATTTAAATATATGCCTTCATAGAATATGAACTTAAAAGACTATATCAATTACCATTTTTAAAGAATAATTCAACAATGACAAAATTTTAAAGTCCTTTACTAGTCCTTCTAAAAGAATTAAGAGTCTCTGTATCTTGGTTTGCTGCCTGTTGCTGTGATAACCACTGTGGCCAAAAGCCACTTGGGGAGGGAGGAAAGGGTTCATGTCATCTTACATTCTCAGGCCACACTCTATCATCAAAGGAGTCAAGACAGGAAGTCAAGACAAGTACAGTGGCAGGAACTGAAGCAGAATCCCTGGAAGAATGTTGTTTACTGGTGCTCTCCTCATTGTTATAGTAAAAAGTCATTGCTACCTGTGGTGTTTAAAAGAAAATGGTCCCCAAAGGGAGTGGCACTATTAGGAGGTGTGGCCTTGTTGGAGTAGGTGTGGCCTTGTTGGAGGATGTGTATCACTATGGAGGTGGGCTCTGAGGTCTCAAGCCATGCAGTGTCTCAGTTCACCTCCTGTTGCCTTTGGCTCAAGATGTTGAATTCTCCAGCGCCATGTCTGCTTGCTTGCTTCCATACTGCCAGCTGTCATGCTCCCTGCCATAAGGATAATGGACTAAACTCTGAACCTGTAAGCTGCCACCTCAATTAAATGTTTGCCTTTGTAGTAAGTGTTGCCATGGTCATGGTGTCTTTTCCCAGCAACAGAAACCCTAACTAAGACACTATCAATGGTAACTTTCCTTTGTCAAGCTCATGTGTTCATTTGCATTAAACAGATAGGAAGCGTCGAGCATTCAACCAATGGCATTCAGCACATCCCTGTCTGTGGTAAATACTGGAATGCAATGATGGTCCCCATCCTTGAGGACACATGAGGGCACAAAGTGTGTAATGTGTCATTCCCTAAGTTACTGTACTTCTTGAGGAGGTAAGATTGCTGAATCACACCTTTATTGTGCACTCAGAAAAACGTGATTATGGTGGCACACACCTGCAACCTCAGCACTTAGGAGGCCGAGACATGAGGGTCACAGGTTGAAGGCCAAAGTGAGGCCACATGACAAAACTCTGTTTTCAGAAGAAAAAGTATAAAAAAAAAAAAAAATGGCAGAAAATACAATAATAAAATTTCACAAGCTTAAATTGCTATTTGGAAAAATTACAACTATCTTATTACACTTGACTTTCAAGGTATAAAAATTCTCACAACGTATTTACTTATTTGATACATTAAAACTAAGCACTACTTCGCATGGAGTGTTAGTTGCTAGGATAAATGCACAAACCAACAAGGCTGTTCTCACAGAGCTTAGCCTGATAAGGCAGATGCACACACACCATGTTAAGTTCCCCTCGGGTAAGGAAAGCAAAAGAAAAGGGAAACCAGCATTGCCGAGCACGCAGCACAATCACAAAGAGCCCGTTCCCAGCTCAGCCTGGTCTAGTCACCCTGAGCCAGTCTGGGCATCAAGCCAGGATTTCCTGAGCTGGAAGACAGTGAAATCCTGACTTGAGCAGAGCAGGGGCTACCCGGGTGGGAGGAGGAAAGCCACAGCACATGGTGCAAAGCCTTTCCCCGGTAAGAGACCCGGGGAGAGGGGAGGGGGGATGAATATTAGTCATGTTATATCAAAACCTAAAATGAAAAGCAGTATTTAAAGAAGCCTCCTGCTTTGCAGTTCTCGCTACTTACCACTTTGTATTCCAGGTCTGACAGAAGTCTGAAATGCTCCTTCCCCAGTAACAGCAGTTTGCTCCTTCCCGTCACAGGGCTCACTTCCAGGTGAGTGAAATAAAACACTATGAACAGCAGTCCAGAGGCACTCAGACCAAGGAGAAGCTTCCATTTATTCCTCTTCACACTGTCCTTAAATAGCTCCTTCTTGTTAGGGGGAAGCGCTTGCCACCATTTCCTTATGCCCCTGTGACACAGCAAAAGCAAGAGTTGCTAAGTGCATGCTTACATCCCAACAAAATGTGTATGCATGTGCTAGCTAGGATTTCCAATCGTCATGTTCCTCTGTACACACACCTTTTTAACATTCTTAGCTAAAGGATGAAAAAGTCACCAACTCTATAAAGCCACGCTCAAAAATCCTAAGGCTCATTTGAATTTCCCTCTTCAGCTAGTGCAAAGGCAAACACTAAAGTGAGTTGTTTCATAACTACCACCTAGCCAACGCTAGGAAATGCTGTTCTAATCATCATGCACAGGTCACCTCATCTGCTCTTCCTAATAGCTTGTTACAGAGAAAACCTAGCCAAGGTCACAGGTAGCAGGAGGAAAACCCAGGAGTAAAGGGAATGCCATTCCTGAGACTGGCCACTTAACCACTTAACACAGGTCATGTCCCCAGACAATCATCTTGGGGTCATGAAGGATGAATCTGCACCTTTCAGCACTGTTCTTTCCACTGCACCTCAGACTCCAGCTCAATCTGCAATGCTCCAGCAAGGAACATGAGACACTACCTCGCTATCTCGGCACTGACTCCAGGAGTAAGCTAGCACAGCTCAGGAGCAGAAGCTCCACTACCATTGCTAGAACATGAAGAGGGAAGGGAAGATTGGAAGCACCAGAGTAAAGAAATGGACACTTTACAGATGTCACCTGGGAAGGGCCTTGCTAGCTGGCCATAGTCCTCTTAAGTGCAGGCCAGGTTCCTAAACATTTAGACAAGCAATGTTTTCAATAGTGGTTCCAAAAAAATTTCCTTGTGCATATATTTGTCAGTCTTAATAATATTTATTACATGCACACACACACACACACACACACACACACACACATATATATACACATATACATTTTTGGTAAAGTTACTGTAATTTACCAAGTTCCTGCTATCATAGTTCCACCAAAAGTTCTCTGTATTAAATATCAAAGGAGATGGCAGAACCTAGGGAGACAGAGTCTAGTGGAAGGATATGGGGTCTCTCTTTGCCTTCCTGGCCATCATGAAATGGACAAGTCTCCTCTGCCACGTATCCCTACCATGATGCTCTGAGTAGGCTCTGGGGACCTAAGCAACCGTGGACCAAAATCTCTGAAAGCATGAGCTGAAATATGTCTTTGCTCCCTTTATTATCCCCTTTATTATTTCAGCGTCAGAAAGCTGACTAACACAGAGACACATGAAATGCCTTAGAAAAGTGACAGGACCAGAGGGGCCATAAAAACACTTACTTCCTTTTTGTGTTGTTGTTTTGTTTTGTAGTTTTTTGAAGAAACAGGATTTCTCTGTTGCAACTCTGGCTGTTTGTAACTCATTTTGTAGACCAGGCTAGCCTCGAACTCACAGAGATCTGTTTGTCTCTGCCTCCCAAGTGCTGAAATTAAAGGCACTCCTCCTGGCCACTTATTTCCTATTTACAGTGTTTGTAGAATCACTACTTACTTTTTATGTGGAACATATTATAAGAGGAAATTTATAATAGTAAAATCAATACCAAATCAAACCATTTCAAAGGAAGAGAACTCACAAAGCTATCACCCTTACAAACAAGGATGAGTTGGTTACTTGGTAGCCAATGTAGATACCTGCTTTCTGACCTTCAACATCAAATATATAGAATTAAATACTTACAGAAGAATTCATGAATTTTTAATAAAAGCAAACAGGGTTGTGAGTATGAAAGGAACTAGGCAGCTAGGGAGGAACTAAGATCACTTTATGAAGAGATGATTTATTTGCCTTCTTCAACCTTCATGAAATAAGGAAAAGGGGACTGAGAAACAACCACTTAGCTATAAAATGAGTAATTATAAAGGACTACAACAAGGATACTTTGAGAACAGAATGGTAGAAATGAGCATTAATAATGAGGATAAGTTCAAATCCCTAATTACATGAGTGAAGACTTTCATTTCCTGTTTATTGCCTAAAATTCCACAAAATCAAAGGCAATGTTCCTAAGTGCTGTTGTTGTTACACACATTGTTGCCAATGCTCCCCATTCTCCCTGCCATTAGAAATGAAATCTTTTAGAACCATCTCTAGCAAGGAGACTTAAAGACCACTTTTCTGTAGAGTAAAATTACTTCAAGATTATTAAATCACACATAACAAGACTGGTAGAACTTACCTTTGGAGACTCAAATTTTGAGCTGAATATGGTATAGGGGAAGGTTTCTTTACAAGTATAGTTTTATAAAACACTAACATTTAGTTATTAAAAATTACTGTAAGTTGATACAAATGTAAACATAAAAACTTTATAATGCAAATGTCACCCTTGTTACCTGCCCACAATGATGGCAAGGAGCTTCTGTACTGGTTTCAGAATGAGCAGCAAGAAAGGGGCTGGGGCAGCCTGAACCGGTGGAGACGTGTGGAAACTCTGGGAAGCTCTTACCGCAGGGCAGCTCAGAGGACCGCCAACCACTTTCCTCGCTCCTGGTCTTGGAAAAGAATCACCCCACACAGTATGTTTGTAGGTAAGCTCCCCCACTTCCTGGCGTTGGGCATTTGAGAAGCATCTTGATTTTTCGCTACTGAGAGTCCTACAGAAATGGAAGTTTCCACGTAGTAAAGTCACCGGATGACACTGACTGACAGTGCAAAGTCCCCAACCCGCATTCCCTACTCGGGTCCTTCGAGCTTGTAGACAGCCTGCTGGTGATTTCCACTGTCTCCAGTTGGCCAGGGAATTCACTCCAGGGAAAAAATGGTTTCTTGCAGCATACCGCAGTCCATAAAGGAGGTTCATCTTGCTCTTGCTCAGTTACCTAAACACAAAATATAGAATGTAGAAAATAAGTATTTATAAACTGAGAATGCAATGCTTAAGAAATGAAATGTGTGCCAAACATCTTAAGATAAACACCAGTGTTTCTGCCCATCGCCCCCAGCAGCACCTTTCAACAGGACAGGAGGTGCAGGCATGCATGCGCACACACAGTTCACTGTACAGAGCTTATTTTCGACAAGTGAATCTTTTCACTTCATTAAAAAAAAAGGTTTCATTTTATTGCAGAGAATCTATTTGATCAGAAAATCATTTGGCAGGAATAAGAAATAGCTTTATTAAAACAACAATAAATTTGTATCATTTGACAAATAAAAATATAATGTGATAGAAGAGCCTAATTTACAAAATTCAAATGTATTCTTTCAAACAAAACCATGAGATTTATTTAGCCAGGCATGATAGTGCATGCCTCTAACCCCAACACTTGGGAGGCAGTGGCAGGAAGACCTCTGAGTTCGAGACAAGCCTGGTCTAGAAAGGTCTAGGTCAACCAGGGCTATACAGGGAAACCCTGTCTCAAAAAAGGAGAGAGAAACTTTTGGCTGGAGTCAGGATGTAGGAAGAGAGACTTCAATGTCACCTAAAAAAATAGCCTTAAAAACCAATGCCACCTTAAAAACAGAATACATAAAAGAAGGGTTTCAACACACTTGGCCATAAGCAATGAAGGACAGAAAGATGGGAAACTAGACTGCCCCAGAAAACTGCCTGATGAGTTTCTACAAGACACACAAGGCAGAAGAGACTAGCCCCTTAACTAGCCTAACCTGACGGTGTGAAGCTGAGAGCTCCTGTGGACCAGGTCTCAGGATCTTATGGGCATAGAACAACACAGAGAATGCAATGTCCCTGAGTACTAGTTGGTGACGTGAGTAAGAAATCTCCCTGAAGCTTGGAAAGAGCCATCATTACAGGGCAAGATTCACAGGTCAGATTGCACTGCCTGCTCCCATTGATCCAAGTGGGAAAACTTGGCATTTGTAATTCACCGGCATTGGATGGAAGAGTCTGGCCTAACTGCTCTGAGAGCTCCTTTGCCCAGTACTGAAGACTAAAACAAACACCAGGGGGCAGCTTCACAGCTTGCCGTTAAGATCCAGCTTGGTACAATGACACTCGGAAAGATGAAGCTGCTTTTAATAACCACATCCCAAATTTTCTTTTAAAAAAAAAAATTTCAAGAATCAAAATTACCTGACACTTAACAACACACAGTTTACAATTTAAAATTACCAAGCAAGAAATGAGATGAGCAGGGAGAAGAAATTATTAATCAAAGGAAGCTAATGCCTAAATAATATAAACTAGCAGTATTAGTAGACAAGGATATTTGAGTCATTGTTTTAACTATATCCCATGTGTTAAAAGCAACTACAGAAAAATTTGTTTTAAAAGGCTATCTCCAACTTCTAAATAAAACCAAAAAAATCAAAGATGAAAAGTACAATAGGCAACATTTACAGCAGATTGGTCATGGTGGAAATAAGACTTGTGAACTTAATGGCCAATCAAAACTAAAGCAAACTGACAGAAAATGCAGGAGACATCAATGAGACAGCTTAATCATCTCATGGCTAGAATCCTCAATGAGGCAAATGGGGATAAGGGGGTGGGGGGTCTCAAAGAGGCAGTGGCCAAAGCTTGGCCAAACTTAAGGAAAGCTGTAAACCTAAAAAGTTCAATGAACCACACAGAAAAGCACAAAGACCATAGACCTGGCACAAGGCAGCATTCCAGCTACTTCTACAGCCCTGGTCTCTATCCTGCTGAGGCGGGGCACCAACTGCTAACAGACTCCATCTTCACAGCTACAAGAAATGCAGTCAGTCCCAGGCCTTGAGTTATGGCTTTGTTTTTCATCTAAATGCCTACAAACTGTCCAGCCTCCCAGACAGGGGTTCCTTGTGTTCCTTGTAATGACAATCATATATGACGTTAGTGTACCCACCCACTCAGCAAACTTAGAAAAAGAATTCCTTTTGCTTCTGCAGTCTCCCCTTAGGTAAGAATCTGGGTTCCAGTCTCCAGCATGGTGGCCAGTGTTATTAAAAGTACCTGTTAACCTAAAGTTAAGTTTCAGTGCCTGTACTGCTGAACCAGCTCTCAAACCTCCATCGTTAACTAACTGGGAACTGTTAGAGCCTCCTCACCATGCAGACAGAGTGCTTCCTCAGACCTAGATGACATAGGTCAGTCACTCCAGGTGCTCTTGACACACTCATGAGATGCAGATAACAAATGCATGGGGCTGCTGCTGGCACAGCACAGACTCCTGTATTATAGTAGAAGCAATACCATCTATGGTAGTAATAGAAAGCACATCATTACCATTAGCAAGGACTACCTGCTATATATAGCTACAGGTCCTGTATATGAATAATCCCGTAGACTGCTTTAAGATAGATACTATGTCACTAGGCAACAGGAATGTCTGGGCTCCATAGTCACCTAATAGGATGATCCTCATGTATTTGAACAAGTCATTGGGTTCTTTGCAGGCTAAGTGGTATGGAAGTTATAGGAAGAAAATAAAATGTAGTCCTTATCTTTGTGGAGGTAACATTCTAATCAAATGGACAAAAGTGAGTTTAATGGAGAAAAATACATAAAATTTATTAATGCCATGTGCTCTGTTCTCTGAAAAATAAAAGAATAAGTCTCCCTCATGCCATTTGGGTAGAAGAAAAGAAAATTAAAAAAAAAAAAATGTTGCACATGGGAAAGCATATTTAAGCTTTTTTTTTTTAAACTAGAAATCAAATTACAAAAACATGAATACATTTTCTTCCTTTCCTTCAAATGTGATGACATTCTATCTGTTCTAAAGCTTTAACACTTGCCTGATCATAGCCTCAACTTAGGGAATAGGCCAGCAGGTCATGTTATTCCCCTGTGACTTGGGCTCAAAGCCAACAGTAGATACCTTACCACAGAGACAGCTTCACATTAAGCATATCTAGCATAGGAATACAAAGAAGGGCTGGAGAGATGGCTCAGAGGATAAGAGCACTTGCCACTCTTCCAGTGGTTCTGAGTTCAATTTCCAGCAACCATATGGTGGCTCACAACCATCTATGAGATCTGGTGCCCTCTTCTGCCATGAAGGCATACAAGCAGGCAGAATGCTATATATATAAATATGCATAATAAATAATTTTTTAAAAAGGAACATAAAAAAGTGTGTACATAAGGTTTATAGTTGGTGCTGCAGTAAACTAAGCCTATGCAAGCTGGACTATGAGGAAAAGCTCTGCAAGTGCTTGCACAGAAAGGACAACAGAATATACCCATGGAAAGTAGAAGACTATTTGGGGGGAGGAGGAAAAGGGAGAGAGAAGGGGAAGAGGGGGATGGGGAAGGGATGGGAAGGGAAAAGGAGAGGGTTGGGAGGAGCAGCGAAGACGGACACAGGCAGACTACCCACTGATGCTCGTGAACTCATGAATGCATTCCATTGTGTTCTCTGAGACTCTGCTGTGCCTTCCATATCTGACTGAGCTTCAGAAGTTCTCTAAAGTAACTCCTCTTCACCCAGTTTCTGTGTCTTACAAACAAATGATCTCAAAGACATTTTCACGGTAGGAGGCAGCTGCACAAGTTCATGTACAAGTTAATATTTCCATGTTATGTGTGTCATGATGCAATCTGACACATCTTCCTGAGACTAAGTTCCAAACTATATATGGGATCAGCCCAAGACTTTTAACATCCAAAATATCAAAGGCCACTTTAAATCACACCTGCCAATCCACCTTACTGCCTCAGCCCAGCTTACCCAGGGTTCTGTGACCTTCCTGCAAATTTTACTATAGTCTCTAACCGCTCTGCTTTAGCCCACTACCAACCCCTCCTCCAAGCAAATTAAAGCAAATCAGGTGGTGGCACACAGCTTTAACCCCAGCACTTGGGAGGCAGAGGGAGGTCAATCTCTGTGAAGCTAGCCTGGTCTTACAAAGCAAGTTCCAGAACAGTCAGAACTGTTTTACAGAAAAACCCTCCATCAGAAAGGAAAAAAAAAAAAAAAGAGCAAATCAACAGCAGAAATCATCTAACCCAAAAAGAGTCACACCACTAAAGACTATATTTTTAATTAAAATACAGAACTCTGACCCACAACAATGAGATATGCAAACCTAAAACAGCAGTAAGCGCTACCTGCAAGTGCCTTGAAGCTAGTGTGCTAGAGCAGGCCTGAACTCCAGCACTTGAGTCATGGAGCTGTTCAAGGTCACTTAAAAACAAGACTTTATGTACAACAGGTTAGCAGGAGAGGCAAAGTCGAACGCCAAAAGCAAGATTGCATAAAACCTGCTGCAGAAATGCTCTCTGTGCTGTCCAATATGGCTGCCCTGGCACGTGGCTAGGTGCATCTGAGGAACGAATTTGTGTCTGCTTTATGTTTTTAAAAGTCAGTAAGGAGTGATGAACCAGTGGCTCTCACACTGAGCAGTGCAGGTTTGTGTGGTAGATGAAGAGAAGCTTCTGCAGAGCCAGAAGGATGTGAACACAGTCACCCAAAGGGTCCCAAAACGTAACAGAATCAGGTCTTTTGTTGTTTGTTTGTTTGCTTTTTTTTTTTTTTTTTTTTTTTTTTTTTTTTTACGAGACAGGGTCTCTGGTTTTAGAGCCTGTCCTGGAACTAGCTCTCGTAGATCAGGCTGGTCTCGAACTCACAGAGATCCACCTGCCGCTGCCTCCCAAGTGCTGGGATTAAAGGCATGAACCACCACTGCCCAAATGTTTCAAATGTTTACAAAAGTCATAAATTCAGATTTACTGTGCAATTCACCTATTTGAAAATGTTGCCAGCCAAATTAATAAAACTTAATTATCTTAACCAAATATTCCCCTATGCCATTTATTTCAGGATTGTTTTATTCACTAATTCATTATAGAATGAGTGAATGCTATATGTCAGACCCTGTTCTGTTTAGTAGGTAAAAAGCAGACACAGAAAAAGACAAGAATCC